ATGTGTGATTAGTGGCTATACCACTGGGCAGAGCAGGTAGAGAGAGAGTCTTGAGGGGTAAACTTGGCCAACAAAGATCACAGAGTTTCTCACATAGAGAACATGCAGCTGCTGCCTTTGATGAAGGTCATGAGGCCAGCTGCCCTGGAATAGTAGGGGTGCCTTAGAGCAGCAGTTGGTGAAGGGTGTTCCTGGGGCCAGTAGCAGCAGCATAACTTGGGAACTTGTTAGACATGCAGAATCTCAGGCCCCACCCAGACCTCCTGAATCAGCAACTTTGGGGCAGGACCCATCAATCTGTATTGTAACAAGCCTTCCAGGTGATTCTGATGCACAGGAAAGTTTAAGAACCACTGACTTAGAGAAAGTTCAAAGCCTAAATCCACGTCTTGTGATCTCTCAGTGTTCTGGGGATGGGACTTTGTCATTCGTTGTTTTTTTTTTTTTTTCCTTTTTTTTGTCTTTTTTCGTGACCAGCAACAGGATCACAACCCTCGGTGTCGCGCCTGCACCTTGCTCAGCCAGTGAGCGGCCGGTCTGTATGTGGGATCCGAACCCTTGGCGGGAGCACCGCCGCGCTCCCAAGCGGTGCACTGTAGCAGTGCGCCACTGGGCCGGCCCTGTCATTCGTTGTTAATAGGTTCTCCTGGAAGCTCTTCGGTGCACCCAGGTTTGGGGAATGCAGCATCCAACTGACGCAGACCTTCCTGGGGGGAGGGAAGGCTCACCTGTGCTCATGGGAAGGGAGAGCAAAGCTGGTTGATTTGTGCATCGTTTTCATTAGAGAACTAAGGGATGACTTATTAGTAGGCATGGTTTTGGGCCCTTCTGACAAGGCTCAAGGTACCTCTTGCTGTCATTTCACCAGTGCACGACTGGTGTGTATGGGATCATAGAGTTGTCCCCATAGGTGACTGTGTTAGGTTCATCTTCTGGTGGCAGCCAACTGTTTCTGTGGGGATCCAGTTACATGTCACTGAGCCATATTTGGTCACAGAGGGAATGAGCTGGACTCCTTTCCCCATGACTCACAATCACTGCAAGTCAACTGTCCACAGGTCCCCAGCTGGGAAATGGTTCCCAATCACCAAGTCCCTTCCTTCCTAAGGATAAAGGACTCAAGTGATATCTCTGTGACACTAAAGCAATGGGCTGACCTGGTTAATTCAGTGTGGAAAAACTGGGGATTCGCCTATCCCAGTCAGGTAAGTAGCTTAGCTTCATGCAGATCTTCAAACTGGCTGTGGACAGATCTTCCTCCTTTCATCATTTGGGTTGGTGGAGAGAGGCCAGTACACAGGAGGGCATCACAAATGTGTTGTACCGAGAGAGACTCTCCCCCTCCAGACAGTCTGTCCACGCTGATTCTATGATAATCCCACATGCACCCCGGCCAGTGCTGAAGGGGAGAGGTGGGCTCCTCAGAGCAAGATGGTGGCCCCTAAGCAGAGGGAGGAAGAGCCTGCTGTGGCTGTCCTCAGTCACACAGTCCCCAGGTCGACCCTGCAACTGTGCATAAACTCTGAGAAATCCTTTCGCGCTCTTAATGTTCAACACCGTACAGATTTTTCTAAGAACGGGGGCCATGTGTTTCCAGCCCAGCTCGCCCTGCCCTCTAGCCCCGGGTGGAATCCTTGTCAGCAGCAAGAATTGAGTGAGGTGATTTCTTGCCCCTAAGAAACCAAAAGCCAGTGAGAGCAAAGCTCCAACCAAGCAGGAAAATTCTCTCTGGCTAAGCATTTTCAAAGTGAGTCATGTTAAACCAAAGCTTTTGAACTTCACAGTGCTGTGAAATTCCCAGTCTGGCTCCACAGAGGAAGGATGGCTCCCTCTTGTGTGGGGCTTCTGAGTGTTTTTTACTTTCTCACCTTTTTTTGCTGCAGTCTCCCTTTGGTAATGGACTGTCACATGTACCCAGGAATGTATTTTTGTTTTCTCATTGTTAATTAGAGACCTGGGCTCTCATAGCCTGTATTTATCCCTGCTGTCTGACCCCCACACTTCCACACGACGTGATAGTCAGGAATGAGGGTTCCTTCGGTTGCCTTCTGGTCTAATCAAACATCTCCCAGACACTGGAGTCTATGAACAGTTTGGGGCAAGGGTCGGAAAGCTACGACCCGTGAGCCAGATCTGGCCCACCATCTGCTTTGCTAAATAAAATTAAACTGGAACTCAGCTCACTCATTTATGCATTGTCTACGGCTATTTTCACCCTGCAATGCCAGAGCTGAGTAGTTTTGACAGAGACTTTAATGTCCACAAACCTTAAAATATTTCCTCTCTGGCCCTTTACAGAAAGGGTTTAGGGCACGAACTCCAGACACAGCATCCTGGGTTTTGAATCCCTGCTCAATCACTCACTGGCTGTATAATTATGGATGAGTAACTTAACTTCCTTAAGCCTCAGTTTTCTGATGTGTAAATGGGGATAATACAGTTTCTACGTTACGGGTGTTGGTGAGAATTAACCCACATTAAAATACCTGAATATCACCTGGTGTGTAATAAATTCTCAGTAAGTGTGGGCCATTATTCCCCACCCATCCAGCTGGCTACCTGGGCCACTCCCCTGGAATGACAGCCCCCCGGTCAATGTCTCACTGGACTACACACACCTGGAGGGCAGGGGCCATGTCTAACTTTACCCTCTGCCTGGCATAGAGCGGGGCACAGACCACATGCTTAACATGCAACTGATGAATGAATAACGAATGCCCATGAGGTTTCATTTTGAATGTGGTTTACAAAAAGGCCAGAGTTTCTGTGCGGAAGCAGAGACTGGTCAGAGAAAGGCTGGAAGCAGAGAGACCCGGGATGCTACTTCCCAGATAATATTCCAGAAGCAATGTGATCTCTGGCCAACATTCCTTACCTCTGTTCCCCACTTTATTTTATTTCTTATGAGCATGAATAGCTTTTTTTTTTAAAGCCCAACATGTTATTATAAAAGTTCCCAAGCATTCAGAAAAGTTAAAAGTATTATACCATTTTATTTTTTAATGAACTTCTCAGTAAACTGCAGATACCAGCACACCCCCGCCCCCCACGCTCTCGCCTGCATCTCATTAAGTAGAGTTCAGTTGTAGTTCATGGGTCTTTTATTTTCAGATGCAATTTTCATACGGTGAAATTGACAAATCGTAACTGCACCGTCTAATGGGTTCTGAGAAATGCACACACCCATGTAACCCAATCTCCCACCATGACACGAAGCACACTCAGCATCCCAGAAAGTTCTCGTGCCAGTCTCACCTAGCGGAGATCACTGCTCTTGGTCTCTCCAGCACAGGTTGGTTTAGCTTGTCCTAGAACTTCATGTAAATGGAATCCTACAGTGTGTACTCTTACACGAGCACTCTTTTACTCAGCATCATTTTTTGAAAACCAAGATTCTTTCATGGTTTTTATTGCTTCAATAGCCCATTTATTTTTACAACAGTATAAATATACCGCAGTGTGTTTAATTATTCTCCTGTTGATGGACATCTGGGCTGCTTCCAGTTTGGGGCTATAAGCGAGTACTGCTTTTATAATTCAAAAACAAAATGAAAAGAGGCCTATGATGGCTCCTCCCCCAAACAGGACAGCTACTGATGAGGTCATGAAAATAGCTGGGGACTGTGCCAAGGACCTGGTATCACCATCTCACATCCTAGCATCCGCTCTCTGTAGTCGGGCACTAGGAACTGGAGCAATTCGCCTTTCCCACCTTACACACTCCTGTCTCTCTTTTTAGGGGTCTTCAGTCTAGCCAGGTGGGGTCCTCAGCTCCTTCCCACCTTTACTCTGCTCATCTGCTCTCCGTCC